AAAAAAAAAAAAAAAAAAAAAAAAAAAAACTTAAAAATATTTGAATACTGCAACAAATTGCAGTAAATATATTAATATTTAAAAATTATGAAACGGATATAATGTAATTTATATATTTTTTTTACAATTTATTACATTATTTTAGGAATTACAAATAAAAAAATTCCATTGTGATAGAAATTAGGTTCAACATATAAATCTAATTCCCAAATAATAATCACTACATCGTCTTTTTGAGGATAGAACAAATAAGAAATAAATTTAAAAAAAGTTAAAATAAAAATTGAACAAAGTTTACATCTTTCATAAAAATAAGAATTGTAATAAAACTAATTTGAAAATTTTGAACTATCCAAGCCTCTAATACAATAAAATAAACATTCTGTAACTCTTACAAATTGAATCCATGCTAAAAGTGATGTAATTATTATGTTAAAATAACATTAATTAATGATAATAATTATAAATAAATATATAATTATTATGTCATATGATAATGTTATGCTATATAATATATGCTATATACTTACAAAATGTTATGCTATATATAATTACAAAAATGTATAATTTAAAAACAATAATAACTTCAAGCTGACTTTTCCAGGAAAATTAAATTAAATAATCCAGGAACATTAAATCGAAAGATTGTCATAGGTAAAAATGAATAATTATATTTATTTTATTTCTTTCATCTTTTCTTTTTTTAATTGTAACAATACCTTTTCAAAAATATATTTCAAACAGTCGTTTTAGAACAAGCAGTCTCCGTAATTGATCTCTATTAATCTATAATTAGTGTGTAATAGTGCTCGACATACAACGAGTGAGAAATAGAAAGGCTTTTACACGACAGTAAAATTCGTAAAATTCGAAAATACACGAGTATATATGAATCCACAAAATTAGAAATTACATTGAGTAGCGGCATATCTGGTACTCACTCAGGGAATGTCTCCTGTCAAATGGCGCTGAATAATTACAAACAATACTGAGATTTATACTTTGAAATAATGAACTGTCGAAAAACTGGAAATCAGATGAAAAATCGTATTTACGTAAAACAACAAGCGAACTGGAAGGGGTCAGCAAGGAGGAGACGATCATGCTATCCTTTTCGAAACAGTGGCAAACTCAGAGATCGGATAACAATAGTAATCACCCAGCGTCGACCGATTAACAAATTTAGAAGAAACAAAAATTAAAGACGTTGTCATGCACCTATTTTCACGTGCCGAAGTATATATAAATATATATGTAGAGAGAAAGAGAGACAGAAAGAGACGGGAATTCATTAATTTTTTTCGAAGCATTGTGCGTACCTCATGCTTGTCCTTTCCCTCGACTTTCAGCTTTTTCTTTCTCTTCTTTTTCCTCTTCTTCGATTCAGCCTCAGACGAACTATGCAATATCCATTTATTATTTATCTATTATCATATATTATCATTAACTTTATAATCAATTTTGATTAAGCGATTATACTGTACTTTTTAAAATAAATTGTTCAACAGTTTTCTCTTCTTCTTTTTATATTAATATTCTTCTTTTTAGTATTAATATTACAAATATTAATACTAATTACAAATATTAATACTAATATTAATACTAATTTTACAAATTACTAGTTGTTAATATTTCAATATATTATTTCACTTATATTATTTTAATACGTAAGATTGATATAATGTGCATTAGAGAATGTTTTAAATTTATTTAAAAAAAAGCTTTAATTAATAAAAGAATTGTTGTTATTACAATTTATAAGTTAGATTGATTGTCGTACTTGCTGTCATCGGAATCCTCGCTGGAATCGCTGTCAGATGATGTAGCCTCGGCTTTTTTGTGCTTCCTCTCCTTCTTCTTCTTTTTCGATTTTTCTTTCTTCTTGCCAGATTTGGGAGACTCGGATCTATGAAATCGGAGATTGAGGAATCGTTACAAGAATCTCGAAGCAACCGCTCTTTTTTTGTTTTGTCAAACAATATTTAGTCTTATATAACTCTTGCAGTGGGCGTCTTCCTGTCGACAAGTGCATACCTTTGTGCTGACAATATATAAAGAAAGCTGTAGTACACAACGTATTCGTATACGTGAAAAATAATTCTCCTATCGATCATATATCAACGTATACATACGTACAATATACACAAGCTATCCGCTTTAAAAATTATAACTTTCCGTAATATAAATTTGGAATGTATTCCGCTCCAATAATAACAATTTAATTTTAATTTTTCTTTTAACACATAACTTGTAATGAAATAACATTGATCGTAAATAAAATCTATTTTTATAATAGTACTTTCGAAATAGTTGGGCAAACTTTTGAATATCTTGCATTTAAAAAAAAAACAAATTTACATCAATGCAGTACATTGATATGATTTTTCTTCTTTTCTTCCTGAAGTCTGTCCAAGTATCTCAAAAATAAAATTTTGCATCGCGATATACATTATAAAGTGTAATAAAGAAAAACAAAGTATAACGACGCAAGTGAGATTGTCCACAATATTGCGTAATATCATATAATATCGCGGCTATATAGCTAACAAACCGACTACATTAATAGCTCACTTTGAAAGATCTGGTTTTGCTCGTTTTCGGAGTTTCCGAGAGGTTCTCCGATTCCGGGGGTTGCAACTACAACACCACGAAAAACCACATCTTTCAACAAAGATTTACGGAAGACAAGTATACGAAATATATATATATATATATAATACATAATATGAGGAGTATTGATATAAATATGGGATTAGCATTACCTTGATAACCATCGATAAGGACGGACTTGTCAGAAAAAAATAGAGAGATGACATTAACAACAAGCTTCATCGATAAACAACAACAGAGAGATAGAAATGTATGATTCTTGTTTTTTGTTTGTTTATTTTGTTGTGCAATTTTCTCTACTTTTTAATTTTCTGAACTATTCTTTATATTTATTGTGAAAAACGCGATTTTATTATTTTATCATCCCCGGCAAATATTTGCCCGTTATTTGTTAAATTTAAAAAATTATAATAGAATTTATTATAGAATTATCAATATTTCCAGCATCAATGGTTTTTTTTTTTTCTAAATTCGGTAATATTCCAATCTTTTAACATTCTACATGTTTTTCAAAAGAAATAAGATAAGATTGCATTAACAAACCATTAGAAAAACCAAAAATGATGCATACTTTAATTTAAAATGATGCATATTTTAAATACAGATATGATTCTTATGATTCTAGTTTATAAGAATAAGAGGTTGAAACGTAACAAACATTTACCTGCGGGGAGATATTTAATCGCGCGAGGGTCATAGAGAAAAATCCCATCGATATCGGTTCTACTCGCGCTCTTTGAATATACGACGCACGATGTTAAACTTTTTCGAAGAATGTGTTTCTTTCTTTTTTTGCAAATTAATTCGCGACGACCACACTTACCTACTGCGCCTACTGGGTAGGCACTCAGTCCTCCTCAGTTCTGTTTGAAACAGAGAAAGGTGTATGGGATATGAGACAGTAGGTGGTGAGTCATGAGTTTACAGTTCTGTAAATCCAGCTAACGCGTAAAAAAAGCAAAAAAGAGAGATAGAGAAAGAGATAGAACGAGTGTTTGCAAAACGAACAATTTCGATTAATCGATCGTAGGAAGAGAAAGAGAGGAGACTTTCTACTCGGATTTTGGTCACTTTCTTTTCTCTTTTCTAGGGTGTTCCGGAAGTGTGTGACGAGGCCGGATATGCGGTCTTGGAGCCTCGATTCGCATCTTAACTGATACTTAAAACGGAAGCGAGAAAAAGAGAAAAAGAGAGAGAGAGAGAGAGAAAGAGAGAAGAGAGAGAAAGAAAATCACGGTGGGAATCGAATCCAGCCTCCATGGAGCCGTGCGCGCACCGTTTACGTTATGCTGTACCTTTCCCGCTTGTGCTTCTTGGCCTTCTTCTTCTTGCCCGCGCTCGCGCTGCCGGAACGCTTCCGCTTCTTCTTTTCGCTGCCCGTTGTGACGATCGCTTCCGGTGCCGGCGTTGGCGGCGCTGGGCTCGGTGTGCGCACCAGCTCGTAAACCTTGCTCGTGGCGGCGGCGGCTCGCGCCTCTGCCTCGCGCGCGTGCCGCTCCGGGTCTAGGCTACTGCCCTCCACGAAGAACTCGGAGATTCCGAACGCCTCGCGCAGTTTCGCATTCTTCTCCTGCTGCGCCTCGGCGATCTGGTGTGTCTCCCGTACGCTAAAAATACAAATATCACATTAATTTTCGCATATAAAGTTTGCCAGTGTAATTACTGCAAATTACTATTAATAGTGAATTAAAAATCATATATACAGCCATCAATATAATTTTAACGAATTACGAGTCTTTGGAAGCAAATGCATCGTCGATACGATTATAAATATTAATATGATTAAACATCAATAATAATAATCGACGATGATTAGTAGTAATAATTATAAATAAAATCTGTAAAGAATATAAATTTCTCCTTTATTTTTGCCTTATTTGCTATTATATTTAAAAATATAATAATCAATGATTCAATACTAATTATTAAATCATGTATCAATCACGCACGAAAGTCGAGAAAATAAATCAGAATTTACGCATGTAATTATTCATAATTTTTGAGATAGTAATGCTTATTTTTATAAATAATCATAAATGATTAATAAATACAAGTCAACCTTGTTTTTTCAAAGCAATATAAAAAAGTTGAAGATCAGATAAGTATAGTTATAATTATTATAATTATCATTATTTTTATAATACTTTTTTTACAAGTTCAAATTATATTTTATTTAAATTATAAAATCAATAATTTTATAAATTGGATAGTAAAAATATCTTATATATACTCTATATTTTATATATATACATATATATATATATATATATATCTTGATCACTATTTGACAACTTCTTTTGACTATTTTTATTATTTCTGACTCAATATATTCTTACACCTTAATGAAAAATTAGTTTTGAACATCGATTTGTCAAGAATATCTCTATTACTTTTAAATAACTGTTTTTGTGAAAAGAATTAGAATAATCTAATCAAGCTAATTATTTATATGACTTATTTTTATTATTT